TTTGTGACATATATACGAATATACGAAGTCCTTAGCCGTAGTGTACATAGCACGTAGATTGGAAACCTTTAAATTATTCGACAATTTCCAAGGTGAGAAGAGAACGACTCGATCACTGGGACAATACTTTTATTCACCTGACGTTTCGACATCCATCGCGGATTCGTCATCAGAGACTTAGTTAAAGAGTAATAGCAGATAGGGTCCCTATCTGCAAGTTTCAAGGTCTTTTAGCACCGAAAGATACGCTTCCTTCAAGAAGGAAATTAGCAGAAGACAAAATTTGTTTCCAAGCAGATTTAAGAAAGAAGGTTTGTGTGCATATTTTCTGCAAGATAAATGTGAATTTATAAGTTCATCGAAAATCAGTTGGAGGAAAAGTGCATAGTAGATAAGTAGTCAGTGTTTTATAGAGTTTAATTTTTGCAAGCGGGCGGAAAGAAGATCGTTCAAAACCCGAAATCCTGGCCCGACTGAAATATCCAAAGATTAGGCTGCACAATAATTAAAAGTACGACCCTTCTCAAGTGATCTTTTCGAAATGCAAACATTTCGAAATTCCGGTAAACCTTTTATGAGGTAGAAAAACTAATTTATCTGAGTCCGAACCCTAATCTTCCTGGAAGTGAATAGAAAGCCATCTGTATCGCTGGCGTTTCTAATCCTGTGACTTGTGGATTTCAGATGAAAACCCGTCTTTGTTTAAGAACATGCCCGTTCGGAAATTGCTGGCTTACTGCGTAATGTCCGATTACAAGCGACAGCTAGAAGTCGCTCTAGAAGCTACTTCAAACGCAGTAGATGATGACGCGTTGAACACTTTAAGAAGCCAAAAGGTGGGTGGACACGAACGTGCCGGACCTGGTCTCGTTTTGATGGTCCTTCAATAAATGCAATCAGTATTCTACTGAGTTCTGCGGCTTTTAGAGTTTACAGCAGAAAGCTGTGTCTGCAAAGATGACTGCAACAACTTGTATAAACGTCCAGTTAGCTTATAATTGTTCAATAAACATTTGTTAAACTAAAGGATAATATATTACACAGCTTAAGACGGTTACTGCTCGTAGACATTGTTTTCGAAAACGGAAGTCTGCCGACTTTCCAACAGACACTAACGCAGTAAAAGTCTCGAAAAATGGAGAAGGTACTAAAAAGATCCCAGAGGTTAGTTAGGTTGTCGTAGGTTATGTTTGTTCTGATAGCATACATTGATCATTCGATGTTTTTTAATCTATCGAACTTAACCAAGTAGATCAAGCTCCAATTTAAAGCTTCTTTTCCCTGGTGAAAATTTGAAGATTGTATAAACAGCAAAATTTAATGGATCCATCAATTTCGAGAGTGCTCTTCAGTTGCTACTTCTCATTGCATAACATGAATGAACGTCAGAGAAAATACACGATTGAATTTATACAGAAAAAATCGATTCAAAACGGCGAGGTCATTGTAAATGGCCAAAAGGCAATCGATAAAGTAGGAAATTTAAACGCTGTAGGCAGCAAAAACTGGTGAAAAAACGTCAAAGGCAAAACAAATGGGGAGGGGAATGTGTAAACAGCGAGCCAGTTACCAAGGTAGAGTTATGTTCACTACATGCTCCAACTGTTTACATAGGTCGGGTTAAAATGCCGTATGTAGGCTGCCTCTCGAAATTGATGGATCCATGAAATTTTGCTGTTTATACAATCTTCAAGCTCCAATTGTTAACTTATCGATTATGAATTTGTCTGTCACATTCAATTTTACCTTAGTTAGCATTTTAAATTCTTCAATGTGAAAACTGACAAAAGAGTATGAAACGCGGCGTATAACATAGTGTTCTGACATACCTTGATTATCACAGAGTACACGTAGGAAACGACATGAAGATCCTTTGTAGCCTGGTCCTTTTGAACGCTAGATTTACACGTAAAATTTAAATACGCTATGAACCTGACGAGGTCGCGATAAAGGGAACGCACAAAATCCAGGTAAGGATTTATTTCATTCTCAAACTGGCACAGCTCGCCGCCGATACAGATGTGTTTGAATAGTCTGAACAAAAACTCATCTCTTTCTTGTTCGGTAAAAAGAGAATAATTTTCAGAGTCTTCTAGGAGGAGTATCTGAAGGAGTCATTTATTGCATAAATATGTACCTTCCGGAGCTCGTCAGAAATGAGAATCGACTCAAAGATTTCATCAAGACATGATTTAATAATGCCGTTTTCGCGTGTTACTGGCCCAGTCAGACGGCTAAATATGTCCAGTGTCAGGAGGGAACAGGTAACAGGTGTCACCTCCACGCTCTCAACAACGTCTTTTGATAAGTAGAATATCAGAGGGCTTACCCGGAAGTAGCACCTCAGTTTCAAGCGTACATCTTATGTTTTTGTCATTGAAAAATGCCTGTAAATAACTGGGTTCGGTACTTAGAGGATCTTACTAAGACGAATTTTTCCGCGTTGTGCGGCTTAAAGGTTTCATCAAAGGCGTAGCACTGGCAATGCAGTCGTCCCTTCATTGACCTGCAATAAGAGCGCAGAAATAAAAATAGGATTGAAAGCATGAACCATTCTTCTGCCAGTTTGACGTGATCAGGGAAGGAAAATAAAACCAAAATATTTATTAAAGTAGACAGCCAAAAAAGACTTTGTGAGACGTCCGAGAACTCCAGACGTATGAGTTCGGGACGGACACTCTGCCTTTGTGGCACCGGAGCTGAGCCGGCGCACTCGAACAGATGATCGCTACTACCTTCACTGTGGCCTGAACCCTGATGAGAGAGCTGTCCATTAGCAGTTCTACTGCTTTTTCCATGCATTGGAAAGGTGTTAAAAAATAACTGCTCAAAATACTAAAAATATATCATCGACGTTCGGCCACCTCTCCAATTTTCGGCTGCAGTCCTTCGAGTATGCGCGCTTCCTGATATATTTAACAGCGCACCGACATCTACTTATTAACATTAAGTAATAAGTTTATATGCAGTATTACAAATTAGGAACGAAATTTGCTCAGCGTCAGAATCGAGCAAAAGATGCGAACATATATTTTACGATC